TCTGAAGAATGGATCTTCTTTGAGAATAAACCTGGCTTGTGGACAAATGCTCAATACCATGTGCTGTATAGTGTAGGCAGGTGACCTGCTCACAAAAGTTACTTGTTACCTTTTGTTTTTCCCTTGTTAGTGCTGCCCACTAGATGTGCTAAAACCAGCTCTGTGGGCTGCAAGAGGTCATCTAGTACAAGTTCTTCCCTCTAGGCCGCTAATGGGTTTAAACCATCCTAGGAAGAATCCCTCTATCTTGTTTCATGGAATGAAGGATGAAACATTTTGTATGATCTCAGAGAGCAGAAATAACACCAATTAGAGAAAGTTGGAGGGAGTTTTAGTTTAGTATGAAGAACAACTCTCATGATTAGAGCCATCTGAAAAAGAAATGTACTATCCTAGGACATAATGAGCTCCCTGTTACTGTAAACATCTAAGCTGCAGAGAAGTTGTGACTTTTTAAGATCACATAATGAATTTGTGGCAATTCAGTTGAATTAATTGAAGCATTTAGCATAGTCTTTAGCTCAGTGCCTCGCACATATAAAGTGCCTAATAAATGTTTTTCATTCTTTTATTCTTCCATTCATTTCATTATTCCATTAAAATTTCAAAGCACTTTTCTTGGCACTAGAAAGACAAAAACGAAACGGCCCCTGCCCTGCTGGAACTTTAATTCTTCTAGGATAGAGTGGGAAACTGAATGTGGGTCTCCTGAGGCCCTTTTACTATGTTGACAAGAAGTTATTATAATGTCTAAATTTTTTATTTTAATGTCTAAATGTCCATTTCCCCTCCTTTCCTTCCTCTGGTTTGTCAATTCTCTTTCACTTTGTTAATGTTGTTAATGGGAGTAGAGGAAAGTACTCAAGCATGTACTATCCCTTTGTAGACCTGACTTGTCTCCATGTCATGCAGAGCTGGAGTCCTCAAGGTGTTTTTGGGATATATGCCCCTGATATTATTTGTATATGGTGGCTTAGTTTGTGAACTGAAAGTGTAAGCAGGAAAGCCTCAACTGTGCCTATAATTGGAAGCATTTATTAAGCACCTTCTTGTGCCAGGCACTGTGCTAAGCGCTTTGCAAATATTATCTCATTTGATGCGCACAGCAACCATGGGAGGTAGATGCTGTTATTATACCTATTTTACAGTTGAGGAAACTGAGGAAGACAGAGGTGAAGGGACTTGCCCAGGGCCACACAGCTAATTAGCATCAGAGGCTGGATTTAAACTCAAGGTCTTCTTGACTCCAGGCCCCGCGGTCTTTAGACTAGCTAACTGGGGAGAAAGGAATCATTTTTTGCACCCACAAGAAGTATGATAAACTTCTTTAAGATTTTGACGTTGTAAAGGGAATTAGTTGGGGATTCTCTGATCTATTTGATGAGTTTATATATGGAATGTGATGGATGCTTTCCTCTAGACAGTATTGCTATGCCAGTTGTTGCCTCCATCCCAAGGAAATGGAGCAGCAACTAACTGGGCACTGGGGCTGCCCCCAGAATAATTTGATTGGCTAGGATTCTAGGGAGGATCAATTCTTGCTGGAAATCTCCCCTCTGTAATTCTCTCTAAGGGAAATGGCTGACTCTTGACTTTTTCCTGTTCAGAGAATAGAAGGAACCTGTTTTCCAGGTTGGAGAAACTTGTGCATAGGGTAGATGGGTGAGGTGGAAGGGTAGGGAAGTCTCTACATGTGCACAGTCTCCTCCCAGGACTGATAATGACTTTTTTTTCTTTTTAAACAATAAGTTATTCAGATGATGCAGGTCTGATTGATGGGGAGGGGTTTGCCCATGTTGTAGCCCCAAAATGTGTTTGTTTTCTGTTGTGTGTGTGTGTGTGTGTGTGTGTCCATATCACAGTGTACACTATAAATCTGGAAGACATTGTGTAGGACCCTGTGAGAGAGCTAAGATTTACCAGAATGTTGGAGTGTTGTCTTAGTAGCAACTCCAAGTTCAGTTACTTTTGGGGAAAACATTGTATATACATTATGTGTGACATTGACTGCCTTGATGCTCCCTCCCACCCAATGCCCAAAATACAAGTAGGTCATATTTCACTCCTCTCCAAGGAGTTGGGGATGTCTAGGTTCTTATCAACACTGCCCATCTCCCACATTAAGTAATTGATCTCCACCAATGGGGAGACAGTTCTTTACAAGTGGCCCTTCCATCCAAGAATTACATGTGGTTTTCTGTTTTTGCTTATGGGTTCCTGAGAATTCTTTAAGTGCCTAATGCATTCTCTGTGCAGTGAAATAAAGACTTTTCTATACCTGTTATTCATTTGTTACCTTGAGTGCTTGTACAGGAAGTGGATACTCCTTTTAGTTACACCTAGTTAAACCTAGACTGAGTACATTTTGCTATAATAAACTTTGGAAAGAAGCAATAAGCCAAAGATAAAATGACCCCGCTTGGAAAGCCACCAGGATTGAACCTGGCCCTTGTGAACCCAGTTTTGGTGGAACCGCGATCTGCTGGTTGCAACATTAAAAGAGTGATTAAGATTTCTGATTTAAAAAAAAAAATTAAAAACGAAACATGTGCTGGGAATGCTAGAAGGGCCTGTGTCAGAGAAGGTTTCACCTTTGGCTTTTGTTTAAAAAGTACCTGTGGAACTGGAGTGTCACCTTTTAGAAATGACCTTCATTTTTCAAAATTTCCCCCCAAAGAGATTGCATAATATTGTTTTTTCCTGTTCCTGCCACACCTTCATTTTTACAATTTTTACATCAAAGGAGTGTATGCAACTTGGAGGCTTTGTAACATGCCTCCTGTATCCTTAGAATTATCATCATCATCATCCCTCATATTTGTATAGGACTTTTCAGTTTATGGTGTGTTTTCACAGAATCAAAAAATCTCAAAGTTGGAAAGGACTTTGTAGGTCATCTAATCCTGCTTGTAGCTGACTAAGAATCCTCTTTATACCTGATAACCCCCAGCTTTGCCTTGAAGATTTCTAGTGAGGGGAAACATAATACTTCCAAGGCAGCACATTCCATATTTGCATAGCTCTAGGTGTTAAGACGTTTTCCCTTATATCAAAGCTAATTTTGTCTCCTTGTAGCATCTACCTATTGCTTGTACCTTCTGGAACCAAGCAGAAGAAGTCTAATTCATTCTCTGTATGGCAGCTTTTGAAATATTTGAGATGCCTGATCTTTGGTGATTTTGTTCTCTTGTCTTCTTATCTCCAAACATCCCTTTAATTGATCTTCATGTGCTGAAACTCCAGGGCCTTCATTATCCTAGTTGTGTTTCTTTGTACATTTCTCCGGTTTATCAATACCCTCCCTTTTGATTAAGGCAGAGTACAGTAGGAAGACTACTTCCCACTATGCCACTCCCTCTTTTTTTATTTGCCTCTCTTAGTGCAGCCTAAGGTCACATTTGATTTTTTTGGCTATGCTATTACATTGTTTGCTCATTAAGCTTTCTGCCTGATGACCTGTGGAGTGTTTGTTGACTAGTGTCCTGTGAAGGAGGTAATAATGCAAGTATTATTATCTCTGTTTTACAGGTGAGGAAACTGATGTCCAGAGAGATTATAGGATTTAGAGCTAAAAGCGACCCTCATTTTACAGATGGTAAACTGAGACCTCAAAAGAAGAAACAATTTTCTCAAAGTTTTTTAATATATAGTTTTTACTACACTGGTAGTAAAAAAGTAGGGGAGCCAGGATTTGTTTGCAGGGCCTCCAACTCCAAATTCAGTTCTTGTCCCACTATACCAAGCTGATGCCTTGTTCATGGCCATCCAGTTATTCAGTGTTGAAATTAGAGCCCAGGTTTTTGGTTTTTAATTCAGAATTCATTTCCATTATACGCACTGCTTCCTTAATGGGAGGCAAAGCCTTTGCTTATTCCAGTGCTGCCTTCACATGAGTCTGCCTGTATTTTCTCTATTGTGGCAGTAGCTCATAACTCCCATTTCTATTGCTCTTTAAGGCTTAAACATTCTTCTCTCAATACCACCTTGTGATATGGGTTACAATCTTGTGATGTGGGTAGTTTATTATTATCACCGTTCTATTTTTGAGGAAACTGAGGCACGGCCACAAATTGTGGCTTTTCCACTGTAATATAGCTGCTAAGTATGGTTGATCATCTCAGGCTCCTTAGGGGAACTTATATTAAACTTTAGGTATGCTCCTTAAACACAGCTGCTTCTCTGGTTGTCCTAGACTTCTTCCTTCTGGGAGAGATGCAGCCTTCTTGGAGGTGAAGATGCCAGGAGACCACTGGGGCTACCCCATTTGCTTCCATACTCAAAAGAGATGTTTGTGAGCAGTCATAGTGAATATGTTTTACTTTGTCCAAGCCTTCCCTGTCATTTCTGAATAAAGAAAGACAGCCCTATTTCTACCTTTGACCTCTTTCTGTAGCCTCCCATTATCATCGGCAGCAAAGGGGTCCTGCCCTAATTTTACTTCAGAGAGCTATGGAGATAGATGTCTTCAGTTCTACCAGTTTACATTCTGAATTCAATTCAGTAGGAAGGCCTCAGTGACACTTTTCTGAAACTCTATTATTAATCACACTGAACATAGGAAAATGAAAGCTGGGTACTTTCTGTCCTATTTTCTTCTGCGCTATTAAATACAAAGGCTTATAGAAAGTGATGCCTACATGGTTAAATTAAAAGCTCCAATTCCTTTCAGCTTTAGTCTTTACCCTTTAGTCTTCTTAATAGCTCAGTTGGTAAATTCTATTGATTGTTTATTCTACTGATTCCTCACATTTGCAGAACTCTAAAATTTATAAGATGCTTTCCTTGTAACAATCCTGGGAAGAAGGTAGTTTGAGTATTATGACCTCCATTTGAAAGATGAAGAAGCCAAAGACCAGAGAGGGGAAGAGATTTTTAGGAAAAGTTAAAGAGCCAGGATCTGAGCCAAAGTTGTTTTTCACTATACTTCCATGCTATTTGGGTGGTGTGAGGGCTGGAGTTTATGATAACTTTATTTTCTGACCCTTTTCTTTTTTGAACAGAGCAGCATTTCCCAGAGGTGATGCTGGGGGAAGAATTTCTAAGCCTTAGTCTGGACCAGGTGTGTAGCTTAATATCCAGTGACAAGCTTACAGTTTCTTCAGAAGAAAAGGTAAGACAGTAACCTCAGCAATGGTTTGGGATGGGGAGAATGAACTTAATGTTTTTTAAATTTAAATTTTTGTTGGTGTCTTTTGTTTTAACGTTCCCTTAATTTCTAATATGCCACCCCCTCCCTCCCTTCCTCCCCAGCCTGAGAATTAACCTTTATGTAATATGAACCCCAAGAACCCCATTAACCCCACAAACCCCAATTTTGAAACAGAGTCTCCTCTAAGAAAGAGACAAACGAAATCAGGGTGTGTGTCCATGGTTTAATTTCTCTCAAGCTGGCTTGACATGCATTGCATGAGAGTTTAGTCCAAAATTGGGTCCCCCTAAAGGGGGCCAATTCAGAACTGGCTCAATTTGGGATTTTGGGGGTACAGAATTATATGCCCTTCGAAGAGTAGGTGTTCCAAAGGGATGCCAATCAACTCTGGGAGGTGGGCTGTATTAAAATGAGGGTCTTTGAGTACCTAACCCAGGTCACTCAGTCCTGGTTAAAGAGACATCAGTTTACAGATCACCTGTCTTGACAACAGGGAGGAATCAACATTTTCCCAGACCTGTCTGGGCAGCACAATGAGCAGGACCCATTTAGATTAGATAAGAAAGACTGAACTTTGAAATAAAGGGGGATGGGGAAGCTCTGAGTTTCCAAAATAGTGGTTACTAAGAAAAATCATTTTTTCACAGTAACAAAGAATAAAAAAGAGAAAATTAAAACTGTTTAGCAAAATTAACTCAGCAGTCAAGTCCCACATTCTAGTTAATGTTTCACAACCATAGTTTGCCATCTCTAAAGAAAGGAGGAGATATATTTTGTTTCTTTTTTGGGTGCTAGTACTGGTCATTATAATTATGTACATATAGTATAGCAATACATGCTGTTTTATATATTGTTATATGTATTGTATATGGTATAACACGTATTTTGTATATATGTACAATACATAGTATTTTATATATATATAGTTCAGTGTTTTTAGTCTTGTGCAACTCTTGGTGACCCCCTTTGGGATTTTCTTGGCAGAGATATGCGAGTGGTTTGCATTTTGTTCTCCATCTCATTTTACAAATGAGGAAACTGAGACAAACAGGGTTAAGTGACTTGACCAGGGTCCAAGGCCAGACTTCAACTCAGGAAGATGAGTCTTCTTGACTCCAGGCCCAATGCTCTATCTACTGTGCTACCTAGTTGCCCTGTTATATACTAACACTATATATATTAACAATAATAATAATGATAATTAACAATCTATGTATATTAATAACATATAACAATATGTATTATATGTATAATATATACATATAGAATTCAGTCGTTATTTTATTCTTTCCCTTTATGTCTAAATAATCATTATGTACATTGTTTTCCTGGTTCTGTTTGTTTTACTTTTCCTCAGTTCATGTAAGTCTTCCCATGCTTCTGTAATCATTGTATTCATTGTTTCTTAACATTACGGTAATATTCCATTCCATTCATACACCACAATTTGTTTAACTCTTCTCCAGTTACTGGTCATCTACTTTGTTCCAGGCTTAACCTTTATGCTAAAGGGGGCTTGTTTTCTTTTCTATTCTAGTTATTATATTTTGTGATCTTGAAAAATAAAAGATAGCATCTCCCAAGTATAGACGAGTTTTACAGTGTTAGTGCTGATTTGGAACTTTAGAAACCTCTCTGTTCATCCTCTGTATTAGCACAATCTGGACTGTGGGAGCAGGAAGGCTGCATTTGGTTCCGGAAGTCTTCACGAGGACAACAGCCTCTCTCCTACTCTGAGGCTTCCAGAATGTAGTAATACTCAACAGTTAATAAACATATATTAACTGTCTACTATTTGCCGGGCACTGGGGATACTAAAATGAAAAAGACAGTCTCTGCTCTTAAGGAGCTTACAGTCTAATAGGGGATGACAACACACAAAAGAAATGTGGGGGAGGAGGAGCTAAGTGGTACAGGATGCATGGTGGAAACCAAAAGAGTCCTCAATGAGTGCAAGCCACGTGGAAAATGAGATGTTTGAGGACGTGTCGGTCCTATTCCCCTCCTTAAATTGAGAGGTTTATGGCTCTACCCTCTAATCAGAGGGGTAGACAGGTACTGATAAGCTGTGTGAGTTAACAAGGCTGATTGGATCTTGTAGGATATTGAGCTTTCCCACTGATGGGTTAGTTATAAAATGACTTAGTGATTTATTAATTTATTTTTAATTTTTAAAATTCACTTCCATAAACTTTTTTTTTGGAGGGGGGGGCTAGGCAATGGGGTTAAGTGACTTGCCCAAGGTCACACAGTTAGTAAGTGTTATGTGTCAGATTTGAACTCAGGTCCTTGTGACTCTAGGGCTGGTGCTATATCTACTGCACCACCTAGCTGCCTCTGACTTAGTGATTTAATAAAACTGGCATGCCTAAATAGGCTCTTACACTGTGACTATTTTATGTTGAAAGGAGAGAGAGCAAGAAAGGCCAGTGAAGTCCTGTGATGATGGAGGTGTGTGGCTCTGGGGAGTCTAGTTCTCTTCTGTGTCTGTGTTTGTATTTTTCATGTTATGTGTTTTCCCAGGAAAGTTTTGTGTATTGCTGTAAACTGCCTGAAATCTTGGACACTAAGAACACCAAATGTCTGGTTGAGGACAAATTGTGTCATGAGGTCAGGTACAGTTGTGTCCCCAACAACAACTTAGAAACCTTTTCCTCTAGTCTCTTGATGGTGCCTATGCCAGAGGTCAGGTCTAGATAGTTGACAATTGCCCAGTGGTAAATTTAAGCTTGATATAAGAAGTGACTCCCTAATAATTGGTGAAATGGTTTGCCATTCAAGCCAGTGCTGACTGAGCAGTTCTTGGGTCTGTTGTGGAGGGAATTCTGATTTGGTCATAGGTTGGGCTAGATGGCTTCTGAGAATCTGTGATTCTGTGACCCAGATACCCTAAAGAGGGTCTGAAGCAGGAATCAGAGCGAGGAGTGACCAGATACACCTGAAGCCCAGGTGAGCTCTTCTTTAGCTCTTCACCAAAGTGCTTAGCCAGACGGGTGACGGCAAAATGTCTCTCCTGTCCATAGTACAAGGCCTTTGGTTTTGACCAAGTGTTCACAAAAAGGAACCCCATGGATGAAGGTCAGGAGAAATAATAAGTGGAATGGTATGAGTTAAAGCCGTGATGAGCTTTTGATCACAGAGGTTCCATATCAATCCATAGCTGAGTCTGCAGTGTAGAGGGGGTTGCTAGGATCATAGATCTAGGCAGTCAGGCAAGGTAGGCAACGAACGCTTGCTAATATTCCAGGCACTCTGCTAAGTGCTGGGGGTATGAGTCCTTAGTGAGAACAGAAACTTGAGTATTTCCCTCCAACACCATGGTGGCTACCACCTTGATCTTTGGGGAAAATGGGCTCAGACTTAGTGAGTTTCCACATATCATTGGTCCCACCAAGTTCACATCCAGAGGTGGCATTGCTGATGGGTGAGCAAGGCCTTGTCTCAGTTTACTACTGGGGTGGCTCCCAAAGGTGAAAGGTCAAAAGGTGGAAGGCTTGAAAGCTTGCTATGAAACATGGTGTAAACCTAACTCCCAAACCTCCTGGACCTTGGCTGGCTCATTCTCCTGATCTTTTGAAATGCCCAGATTAATCTCTTTCACCAAGTGTGACAGAACAAACACTGAGTTAAAGCTCTAAGGCATGTTTTTATAGGGTCACATGTTGGCCCTGGAGGAAGAGGGCCTGAGACCTCTGCCTTTACTTATAGCATTGTCTCTCATCAGATGCGATATGGCAGGAGGAAGTCAGCTGAAGAGAAATCAGACCCAGAGACCTAGAAACCATCTTTAAATGGTCTCCGTAAAGCAGAACTAACAGAGCATGTTGACTCTCACACGGAGGGGCAGACTTGCAGCTGTCACAGCCAAGCTACCTCCTTGTTTGTGAAATTCATAGAAACGACATCTGGACATGGAAGGGACCTCGCAGGTCATACATGGACAAGGATCCCTTCCCTATCATCCCCAACAATAGGTTATCCAGACTTTCCCGGCAGACCTCTAGTGGAGGGGAGACTGCTACCTCTCCGGGTTTACTTCTGGATAGCTCCAGTTGTTAGGAAGTGTCTCCTTATCTCCAGTTGAAATATGGCTTTTGGCATCTTCCACACATCATGCCTGGTTTTACCCTCTTCCAGCCCTTCAAGTACTTGAAGACTCTTCTCAGTCTCCTCTAAAACTTCTCTGTCTCAAGGTCTCCATTTCCTTCAACTCATATTCCTATGACACAATCTCCCCAAACTTCGATATTCTCGTTGCCTTCCTCTAGATGTTTTCCAACTCCTCATTTCCCACCCAGGTTATGCTCATTTGGAACCTCCCTGGTCTCTAGTAACCTTGTCTCTCCTCTCCAACTCCTCCTTTTTTCTAGGGAACTTCAGCATACATATTGATACTCCCTCAAATACCCCAACTTCCCGGTTCCTCAATTTACTAATTTTCCATGACCTTTTTTTGCTCCACTTCAGCCACATGTAAAGGTCTTATCTTTGATCTTGCCATCATCCCTCATAAGAGTTCCACTTCCATGTTCGTGCACTCTGAAATTCCTTTATCTGATCATGATCTTTTATCATTCTTTCTTTCCCTCTGCCTTTCGACCCTAAACATAGTTCCTTGTCCTCTTTGTGACCTCCCATCCCTCTACCCCTCAGGCCTTCTTTGGGCCAGCAAGCCCTGCACTGACTCTATGGATGAGGCTCCTTTCCCCATTTTGACTCTTGGTGAAACAGTTCAACTCTACACTATCTTTTACTCTCAAGTCCCTCGGCCCCTTGTCTTCTCATTGATCTTGTCCTGCCAGAGCCCCAGTCTTACATTATTCAGATTATTTCTGTCATTCATTACCTTCCCTCCTGTCTAAATGAAGATAGATTCTGAATGACTCTGGAGGAGAGAATAAGGCCGGTGACTTTGCACAGCCCTGCCTTATTTAAATCCAGTTCACTTGCAAGTCAAGACA